AATAGTATCGTTTTCCTCGAATTTAAACTGATTTATAATCGTTTTTTTGTCTGGATAATATTCTTTTGAAGTTATCTGAAAAAGATATCTGTAGTAAGCATAAAAACACACCAAATTTTTCATTAAATTATCAACCCATCCCGTAGTCGGGTTCAATTCATATGCCCTCAGGGCGCCCTGCTCTGCCCGGTCCTGCCCTGAGGGCAGGTCAGGGCAAAAGAAAATTATATGTGCTATTGTCAGGGCAGGACAGGGCTAGATGTGACAGGGCAAAAAAAAGTGCCCTGTGACGGTCTCTGATACGTACATCTTGTTTTACACATGACAGAAAAACAAGAATAACTTTTATTTCGAGAGACTTTTAATTAACGCACATGTGAACTTGAAGAAGATAAGTGACTAATCAGTTACCATGAAGTCAATAGTTCTCTACATCTCTTAAAGTAACAGCTGACATTTTATCATATAGAAAATTGTTGCAGAGTACGATTTCAGTTAATAAACATTCTAATTCAAATAGGCTAATAAAAAACATACTTTTCATCAATATATTCTGATATTCTTCATACAAAACAACTATATGTAATATTAGTTGTAGTGAAAGCAACACTCTCAATCATAATGAAAATTACTGTGTCAGATGTGTTGATCCTGTCATGATAAACTTATTTCTCTCTCTCTATTATCGTCATATTTGACTTTTTACCTTGAAATAAATCTATTTTCGTTTTTCGTTGAGTTTCATGATTGATATAAGAAAAATGTACTGAAAGAATGAAGTTTCTTAGTAAAAATAACTGACGAACGCTATAGTCGCTTTATTTTCCCATTGAATGACACTAGCAAACGATTTATTTAAATTTTTTTTGTTCTAAAATAATTTTCAAAACATTCTTTGATATTAGTCGCTGTTTCAATGTAAAAGAAAGAAAACTCTTGTTATAGTTTCAAGAATTGCGTTTTTCTTTAGTATGTATTAAATATAGTTTCTGGCGTTTAAATGTATTTTGTTTATTTCAAATATGTTTTAATTAAAAAGAGAAAGAAAAAGGAAACATAAGTTTGTGTTTTGATAATTAACATAATGGTTTAAGAACACATGTACTGAACTCGAAGCCATAGTTGCCTGGTGGTCCATATTGTGCAACAACATACATTTTAAGACCTTCTCTTGCCGTAGCATATCCAACACCAAGTCTCTCTGTATCTTTCCAAACAATTTGTGAAAAATGACCTGTACTTGTTTTGTAACCTGGCTTGTCATAATCATAAAATTCGATCTCTGCATACCATGTAAGTGTTACTTTAGCAGCTAAAAAGAATAAATAATAAAAAAAATTTAATTGATATAAAAAAATAACAAAATGCATACCACTTAGATTGGTAATACGGGTTTTACGTGTTACTGCATAAAGATTTTCTCCATAAAGACCACGTCGATCAGTACTATGTATTAAACTACCGTTCATTTTAGCAAGTTGTTCAGCATAAATTTGAGCACGTATATTTATTTCTTCATCGAGTATTAATGGTGGTACACAATGACGAGTACGCAAGGTATTATGAATATCCAATGAATCATTCTGAAATTTTCGATGAGCTTCAGTAAATATTGGAGTTTCTCTTTGTTTCACTGAAAGATACTCATCCCAAAATTCACGATGAATCAATGGTTGTTCAATCAAATCCATACTAAGATCATTATCATGATTTGTCCATTTTGCATCGTTAAACACAAAAAATGTGAGTAAAATTATTCCAAACACTTGGCCTTTCATGACTAAAATGTTTACTTACTTTGTTTTTTGTTTGACTATTTAAAATAGAAGAAATCCATACATCATCTTAATGTGTTCTTAATAGTAGAATAATTATTAATGCACTTTAGTTTATATATAAAAAAAAATGTATCATTAATCTTTTTTATTCTACGTGCTTCTCTGATTATGCTTAGCATATGTCAAGGTCATATCGGACACTATCAACAAAAACTTCTTTGAAAGAAAATAATCTGACAATTTCAATTGGTTAAAACTTTGTGTATTTTACAGCTTATAACAAAATACTTTATAAAAAACATGAAATAGCATCTAAGAAGATCAAGGTTTTGCATGGGACGAGACCATTCCATTCTATTATATTTCATGGGACAAACAGTTCCATATATAATTTTTTTTTATAAGAGAAGATATTATTTTTTTTCATGTACATGGTGCATGTATCTATTTCAGTATAGTTAGCGAAAATAATTTTTTTCTGCTCTGAAATTACTAGTTCTGCATTCCAGTTATTAGACCACAATAAAATGGATGACAATTAATGAATAAATAAATCAATCAAAGACGCTGTTTTGTCTATTATAATAATTAAAAACAGTAAATTGATTCAGATTTTAGTGATAACTGATGACATATCTTCTGATGATTCATCGTCATCTGTTATTGAATGTCAATCTGATTGAATAGTGGTGTAAATGTGAAAGAAGATAATACCAACATCTATAACCCAGGTGAAAAAATCATACACAGATCGTATAAGATCTTACAGGATCTTACTGACATCGGATGTTGTAAGATTCTTGCAAAATCTGATGATCGGAATCTTGTAAGGTCTTATATGATCTTATAAGATCATAATTTTAGGATGTAGATGTGTATGAATAGAAGACCCACACGCTATTTTAGATTTAAACTTTTGAGAACTAATTTCTAGAAATAGTAAATTTTTGTAAAGTAAAATTTAACAACCCAATCGTCAAAGTACATGACTTCAAGAAAAATAGATCAGAAATAAGGAGAGCAACTGCTACTATACGTTGACATCCGATCATCACAATAGAAGATTTCGTAAAAAAACGGCCGCGCTCCGTTCCTGTTATTTTCTAATGATAATAAAAACTTGTACAGATACCTCGTCCAGTAGACCTAAGCGATAAAAGGTTTCTCTTGATTTCTATAGACAACTATACAAAGTAAAACTTAAATTGATAAAAATGGAGCCTAAAATGCTGCAGATATATTTCGATGTAACATTAATTATTTTGAGTTTATTGAAGTTTTTTTTTTGAATTTTATATAAATTCGATTAAAATTTAAAATAATATGTAATCTTTTACAATTGATTTCGTGACTTCATAAATTTTTGTAAATGTAAATTAATCATCCACAACTCTGATGTGAAATGTTCTATCAAAGATCGTTAGATAATCGTATACAGCATCACAGTTTTACAAAAAAAGGATTATAGCTCAGTTAATCATTTTTCTTATTTACTTGTCCATATTTAGTAGCTTTTCAAAAATTGATTAGGTTCGGTTCAGTTCGAGTGAATTTTAAGATAACCGGTTCGAGATCGGTTCTGTTCGATTTCGATCTCTGACGCCCACACCTCACACCCACACCCACACCCTCTATTTATTTTTATTTTAGATAATATCGACGATTAGACGAAGTAAAGTAAGCAATTATTTAAATTAAATTGTTTTGTTTTTATTTTAGATGATATCAACGATTGGACCGAATAAAGTGAGTATTTATTTATTTTAAACTGCTTTTTTTAATTTTAGATGATATTAAAGCTTTATTCAAATAAAGTGAGTACTTATTTAATTTGAATTGTCTTCTTTTTAGTTTTAGATAATATCAACGATTAGATCAAATATAGTAACCATTTATATAAATCAAATTGTTTTTTTTAAATTTTAGATGATATCAATGCTTTATCCACATAAAGTGAGTATTTATTTGATTTAGATTATCTATTTATTTTAACTTTAGATAAGATCGGCGATTAGACGAAACAAAGTAAATATTTATTTAATAAACAATTAAATTTAACTTTAATTATTTATATTATTTGATGGTGTCATTGGATTTAAGGTAAAAGAGCCCTTAAAGATGAAAGTCATATACAGAGAAAAAGGAGAAAATGTGTTATACACCTTTGTATGCAACTCTGGAGAATCATACATGGATCTTATAAAATTGTATAAGATCCAACAATAAGATCATATAGAATCGTACAGTACGATTTTATCAGAAAAGTTGATTTTGAGGTGGGCATATAGAATCTTACAAGATCATATATGATTTCCATATGATCTTGTATGATCATGGAAGATCAGACGTACGTTCTTATATGATCTTGTAAGAATCGTATAAGATCATACAATAGGATTGTTTCACCTGGGAGAGAGGGTAAAAGGAGGATACACATGGAAGACAATATGGTTTAATTTTGTTGTCAAATATCATAACAAACAGTTCTTATCAAAATTTGATGATTATAATATTAGTTGATGAATGATCAAATATCACGCAAAGATAGAACATTATTTTGACTATCACGAAATATAAAGAGAAAGTCTCCTTAAACCTTTCATACGAAAATAACGTACCTCCACCATTACTTTTGGTTTGCTCTCAGTGGTACAGTATGCAATATAATTAATCAAACGGATTAATGTGTTATTAAATTTCACTATTCTTAAAACCATTTGACAACTACAGTATAACCTCTCTAATGTGGGAATCATCGGGACCGGTAAAAAGTGTCCACTTTACGGAGGTGCCCATTATTGGGAGGTTGTGAGTTTCTTTGTGCAGCCTCTAAGTATTTTGTTTCAATCCTTCTGCAGCTGCATAAGATAATCTTTGTCTTCACAACAATTTATTAATTGAAAAAATCGTATATTTTCATGAAATAGCAATTTTTTCGCAACAAAAACTAATCTTTTCTAAAATAACTATGAAGGGTACTTTGAACTAAAGTTCTTGAATCAAGATAAATATCTGCAAGATTGGATTCAATAAGACTTACAACTTGGTGAAGTTGACGCAAGGGGGAAAGTGCTGGCACCCAGCACCCTGGCACCTCAGCACCTGCTCAGCACCTTGGCACCTTTTTCAGCACCTGCTCAGCACCTTGACACCTTTTCAGCACCTCAGCACCTTTCCAGCACCTCAACACCTACTCAGCACCTGCTCAGCACTTGT